ATTCCCAAAAAATAGTAAAGGTAGTTAGGAGGTCGTCTACTTGAACTTACCTGAGGTCCAACTTACCGGTCTGGATTTAGATTAGTACAGCCCGCGGCGCCAAGCGCTGCGCACACTTTGAGATTACATGCGGAACAACTTACTCCCAGCGGCTGCGGGAAACAAGTCGACTGCATTTCTTCACTTTACACTTACTTCAAAAAATTTCCTTCCCTGCCTATCCTATTTCCCCCACCCCACAAAACTCTATAACCGCCGTTTTCGTAGGACAGAATGCTGGGATTAGGGATTATGAGTGGGAGTACATAAGCTACTTTTGTCCGCCAATCAACTATCACTCAAAAAAGTGGGCAACATCAGAATCGATGGTCAAATTTTCGGGGGACCATCCCTTAAGCTAGTATTTTTTTTATCCGGAATTTTGTCTTCTTTGCCCTGTAGAATGCTGAACTCCAGTCCGCCGCGGCTGCCTGTATCAGCAACATCCGCCGACTTGCGCTGGCCACTGAGAAGGTGCTTCAAGAGAGACGTGTCAAGGCGCAGGCTGAGTACATGAAGCAACTGACCCAACAACACCAGCAACTGGACGCTGGTGGCAAACAGGGCGGCGATGAAGAGGAGGAAGAGGAGGAGGAGGAAGAAGAGGAGGATACTGTAGGAAGCACCGTTCAGGCTGCGGCGTAGGCCACGGCCACTGCCACCACCACCAACACTGATGTTTACGTATGGTTTCATGACAAACTTATCTGTGTGTAATCGCGCTGTTTGGCTAGCAGCGAATAATACATGTCTGCATCAGTGGGCTTCGGTGCCAACTTCTTTTTATCACGTTGGCGCAGCGTCTGGTTTCGGGTCGTTGGCTGCTTTGAGGACAGTGTCAGATAGTGATCTGGCTCTCCTAAGTTTGTTTCACGTCAGATTCGGGGATGAGGAGAGCTTTTGTAAGGGCAAATGTAGTTCGCCTCAGCTGACTACCGTAAAGGGATCAAATGCAAACCGTACTTCACCTGCTGTGTGCCAAAACTATCAACTGGAATCTTCGGCTTTGCTCTTCAATCTAAAATATTACATAGGTGCGTTATCCGAACGCAGATTGGCCTAGGAGATATACTCGGTGGAATCAATTCGCCATCGAATTTTACCTTTCCGAATAGAGACACTTAACTTGCTCCGAGGACTCCACGCGAAATTCCGTTTGCTTAAGTAGTATATAGACTGCTATCGGTTTTTGGCGGTAGTTAAAGATGAAGTCCTTTGCGCAATAGCAATTCGTAAGAGTTCCGTTTTCAATTATCCCTCCTTAGTTCTGTACAGTAATATAAATGAGAATTGCGTAACAATGGTTTAAACAGCCGATGAACAGTAAGTAACTTCCCGACATCCTCAACCCCCCTCCCTCATAGGTCCTATCCATTGGCAGGTCAGACCTTTGCTACCGAAAAAAAGTACGTATTACGTATACGTATAACCTTCGCTTTTAAATGATTACATGGGTGTCATCGCTGAACGTTTGTTTTCATGGTTTTTCTTATGGAATACCTCCTTGTTGTTGCTTGCATTCAAGTGGCCTATTTTGCGAGTACAGACTTAGCGATGCCCAGGGTCGCTTCTGCAAATATGCGGGAATAATAAAACTCGCAAGTTTATGGATTCTGATGGCATCTGTCATTATTCGCTGAAACAAAATCGGCAGGAGTTTCCTTGGTAGTAGCGGAACAAAACTCCACATTTCCGGGTTTGTCGACAGCGATTCGAGCTCGATTCGAGCACGATTAGGGTTAGGGTAAGAGTTAGGGCTTAGGATTAGGGTTATAGTTAGAGTTAGATGTTAGGGTAAGGGTTACGGTAAGGGTTAGGGTAAAGGTTAGGGGTTAGAGTTAGGACCAGGGTTCGGTTTAGGGTTAGGATAAGGGTTGGGTTTAGGGTAAGGGTTAGTGTAAGGTTCAGTGTGGGATAGTGATATCTTATGTA